GACTACGAGATGTTTCAGTAAACGCAGTCTGATCATTGCTTCAGTACTTCCATCAGTACGCTGTTTGAGTACTGGACCTTGTCAATTTTCACGCTTGCACTGAAGAAACCACGAGCGTGCCATCACTCAAGTGGAACTGCGACTTTCTGCTTTTTTTGACCCTACAATGTCTGTTGAGATCGGAATTGGAGCATACGATAGGAATGGTAGTGAGGCTTCTGCATGACATTCTCTCATCGCGATAACTCCTGTAAGCCGTGCCCGTTGACCTCCTTTTGATGGGTCACCCAAGATCCCGACCAATTGGCAAACGGACTATTTTAATAGCCCTATCTTTAGAAACATTCTACCTTTCTATCTTTCGTGGTTTCTCTCTGATTCAATCTTTTTTCTATATCGTTTAATGGCCTCCTACACGGTTACTATAAAAATTCTAAAGAATTTCATAATGCCTTTCCACCTCTCGCGTGTCAATGATTGCAAGTGGCATTGAATGAGCCTCCTCTGGAAGATATTGGGAGTTCCACAAAAGTAACCATGCATATTGCAAGAAAACCTTCTTATGCAAATAATTAATAGGAGGTGATGTGAATTTGATAGATTATTTCTGCCTTAACATTACTAAACTTTGGTGCCAATAATTTTGGGACACCCTGTACATATACCAGTCAGATCGCCCAGATGATGCCGGGCTCTCCTCCTTCTTGGTAGGGCAAAGGTACTTGACCCGAAAAACAACGTAAGAAATGCTTTCTCTTTTTTTAGTAGGTTATTTCGCTGCTTCGCCGAGCTAGAGTATAGACTATCAAATGTCTTTAAAGATGTAGCTCCTCTTCTCTACGAATACAACATTAAATGTGAATCCAACATTAAGAGCGGTCGGATAAGTATTGCCAAGAATGATATCGAAACAGAGAGAAACCGTGATCTTCCACTTAATCGCACTTTGCTGGGTATCGGTCGTAATCTAACAACAGGAAGTGAACCAAATTCATCTCCTTATAACACCACTTACCCTTCATGACAAATGAAACATATCAAAAAGTGAACACTAGATCGTAAAGGGTATGGGTACTTACGTGCGTTCGAGGATGCGCGCGGCAAATTGCGAGGCGAAGTGCGTGGTGATACAAACGACTCTGGCGCCTATCATTGGGGTCCAAACTCGAAGTAGCGTAGTTCAGTAAGGTCAGCTGATACTAATAATCTACTCTACTTCGAAGTTGGGCCAGAGTCGTTCGAATTACCACTTACTTCGCCGCGCAATGTGCCGCGCGCATCCTCGGACGCACGTAAGTTCCGTCCCCCGATCGTAAATAACAAGGGGGCTAGGATTCAATTGGTGAGCCTATTGTCATTGTTCCCATCCTACCTCCTCCTATTGATTTTGATCTCCAAGTCCACGGGATCAGGAGTTATGGATTTCCACTCGGACATTTAATTCGCGGAAACCCCATCCCTTGAGGGAGGAGTCGGCCCTACTACTCACCATAAGTGTTTCCATACTGCCGCCTGCCTCCTACCAAGATTGAACCCCCACAGCCAAACTGAAAATTTTAGCGCAAACGTCGCCTTCGATGGCGGGGTCCGGTCCTCCCACCTACAATAAATGTTCCCATCCTGTCGCCTGCACTCCTACCAAGTTTGAATGCCCTAGGTCCACGTAAACAGGAGATATGAATTTGCGGCTCGGAATTTGTATACGCACGCCTCACCCCCTGCGAGCGGGGTCCGGTCCTGCCACTAACCATAAGTGTTCCCATCCTGTTCCCCTTACTTCTACCAAATTTGAACGCTCTAGGTCCACGGGGACAGGATTTATGAAATTCAGGTCAGACACACACACACCAACACACACAAACTCACAAACACACCAACAAACCAATACCACCAATCTATCAATCAAGACCACCGATCTCTCTTATTTATAGAGTAGTAACTTAGTGTATCGGTTTGTAGGTATGTCTGCTTGTGGTTTGTCTGCTGTCTGTCCTTCCGTGGAATTTATGATTATGATAAATGTAGTGATATGGAAAGTCCAGCTCTATCTTACATTTCCTTCTTTTACATACATATACAAAGCAGTATCTTTGGGGGGGGGGGGGGTGGTAGATTAATGGAGTAGAGTGGGTACTGCGGAGTGAAGTTATTAGTGTGGAGTGAGGTGGACACTCCAAACTGTGACCTCGCCCCAACCCCAGCGCTCTTCCCCTCCTGAGGCTTAGGTGAAAACTACATTCTCTCGCCTCGAATAGACTCCCAGCACAGCTACGGTCGGCTACCCCTCCTGTGCACTCAAGCCCTCAGTGTTGAATAAAAGCGATACCCCCTCCCCTTCCCCTCCCCCCTCACTACATTTTCTGACTACTTTGTAAAAGTTCGGAATCAGGCTCGGCGTAGCCCGGGCGACCCGACTGGTCTAAATAATAGCGCAAAGTCTTTGTTGACTGGTATCATGGAAAACATTAAGGAAGTCATCGTAAATTACTACAATACTATCCAATGTCACGAGGCCATTTCGCGAGTATTTTTCCAAACAATTTCCAAATTATGCGTATACTCTTCAAAATCTCACATTGGTTTTGTGTAACCAGCAGTCATTATTCTGGTGATAATCTGATCCATATATCCATCCATTTCACTTCCGAAAGTTCCTTCAGGCAGGTTTTCGTTATTTTCCGCAGATGCGTTCTTAAAGCGTCGAACGTTCTTACGAAGCATATCGAACGTTGAAAAGTCACCTACATGTATTTGAGACATGTTCAAAATGCAGCCAAGTTTCTTGATATAATAAGCAAAATGGACCATATGTTACTTGCTTGCATGCTGTTTAACGCTTTTTCTTATACTGTGTATTAATCCCTCTCATTTATAAAGCAGTAACTTGGTGTGTCGGTTTGTTGGTATGTCGGTTTGTGTTTTTGTCAGTCTGTGTGTCTGCCCGTCTGAGAAATTTATGATTACGAAAAAGGAGTGATATGGAAGACCCAGTTTATCCCACATTTCCCTCTTTATGTATATGAAGCAGTGAATTGGTGGGGGTCAACGCGGTGCTTGGAGAAGCAAATGCTTCAACATTATGACTTCGAGCTCATCCCACAATTGCTTCCTTATATGAAGCAGTAAATTGGTGGCTAGGTTAGTGGAAAGCCTGGAGAAATGAATGCTTCGACATTGTGATTTCGATCGATACTGGCATGGCACTGTGTTCGCATATGGAGAATTTGAAATTTAGTCACCCCATTCTTTCTTCGTTCTCTACCCTTCTCATTCCTGCCTAACTCCCTCAGAATTTATGTAAAGCGAGGTAGAACTGATCGGCAGACCCGCCACTTGTTTTGAATTTATTGAATCAACACATGAGCGTAAGCGACAGCACATGTTGAGTTGTATTGGTTAAATATCACTTGCACAGGATCTCAGGACCTTACTGCCGTTGATGGTCAGCTCATTTCTTTGTTAGCTTCATTGGCACAGTGTCTTCTTTTGGAGTGGCCGACCTGATGAATCAACCGAAAATTTTTAATAACACTTATTATTGTTCTCGACTGTTGACAACGCCACTACCAAAAGTCCATGATCCATCCTGCCAAATTACATATTTTGGTGGTCGCACTGATTTGTTGCAAAAGATATCTGAATGAAGAGATAAAACACGACACTTTGAAGAGTCACACGTCCTGCTTTATACAATTCGCTAAGTGGGTCTGTTAGTGTGTCGGTGTGCGTGCTTGACCGGCAATTCGTAACTCCTGTTACCGTAGACCTAGAGCGTTCAAATTTGGTAGGAGTACGGGGGTCAGAATGCGAATACTCATGGCAGGTAGCAGGACCGGACTCCCCCTACGGGGGGTTGGGCGTGCGCGATAGAAATTTTGGACCACAAAGTCATATCTCCTGTTTACGTGGACCAAGCGGATTGAAATTTGATAGTAGTACAAGCGACAGGATGGAAACACTTATGGCAGGTGGTAGGACCAGATTTCGCCCACAGGGGACGGAGTTTGCGCACAGTAAATGTTTGAAGCGAAATTCGTAAATTCTGTTCCCGTGGTTCTAAAGAGTGCGAATTTGGTAGGATTACATCTTTTCGTATTAATAATGGAACCTCTGCATTTTAATAAGTGATATAGGATGAGACGATATCGTAGGTACTCGGTAACAGGAACCGATAAACTACTATGTATAATTCGCTAATTGTGTCCGTTGGTTTGTCGGTGTGTTTGTGTGTGTGTCGGTGTGTGTGTCTGACCGTAAATTCATAACTCCTGTCCCCGTGGAATTATAGCGTTCAAACTTTGTAGGAGTACGGGGGGCTGGATGGGAACACTTATGGTAAGTGGCAGGACCGGACTCCGCTCATAAGGAGCAAGGAGTGCACGATAAAAATTTCAGGTCGCAAATCCATAACTCCTGTCCAAGTTGACCTAGAGCGTTCAAACTTAGTAGGAGTACGGGTGGCAGGAGGGGAGCACGGATGATTTGTGTAAGAGGTGATTACAATCGGAAGGAGCTGATAAAGCACCTTAGAAGGCGAGAACCGCAGAATCCGCTATCTCCTTCGTATTGTGGAGCATAGGTTTTTTAGTAAGTGGTATGGATTAAGAAGGTTTTTAGTAAGTGATATGGATTAAGAAGGGGCCATAGATGTTCAGTAATAAAGATTGATAACATCTGTTAGAGATAATGAGTCATAGAAGACGAGAGTCATTAGGTCTACAACGTTTTTCATATTCACGGTGGAACACTTCAATAGGTGGTGTAGGATACGAAGGGACCGAATGTGATTGGTGACAGGGATTGATAACAAACGAGCAAGGGCTGACAAAGAGCCTAGAAGGTTAGAGCGAATAGGTTTGTTATCCCCCTCTTGTCAACAGTCATACCTTGGTATTCAAACATAGTCCTTTCATATTGATTTTTCATTCAATAAGTGAGGTAGATGCACTTATAGGAACCGATCAAGGGCGATTCTTCATAACGAGAAGAAAATTTGGTTTATTTTCCGCTGTTGGACTGTGACCGCTATCCAGCAAGGTTCGTGACTCAATGGCGCATCAAAGTTTCTATTTGTTTCAATATCGTCTGTGACTAAACTCATCCGACCGCCAATGATCTGGGATTCCCAATTAGTGATAAATCTGTAGCGAAGAAAAGTTCGCTGATAACCAAACCTGAGAATGTGCGGCATTATCACTCGACAGCATTTGTGAGCCATTCAAGACTTCATTGCCAGTCAATTAAGCCATCATCAAGACATGTCTTTGAGATGAATTTGATGTCTTGATTTGATCTGAGATGATGTCTTTTATCTTCAAAAATAAGCCTATGTGATATGCTTCGACGACACAATCTATTCGAGCTCTGCTTCATTTTCATACTCTCACTCAGCTAAACAGCGGATACAAACTTCGGAAAAGGGAGAAAATTTTCTTCAATTCAATATTTCTCGGATAGGTAGTTTGACACAAGAAGGAGGAGAGCCTGGCGTTACCCGGGCGATCCGACTGGTAACTCATAAGAAGAGATAAGGAGTCCAAGAGAGTAAAAGCCATCTACCAACATGATTCTAACGCATTCGGTGTTTACGATTCGGCTTTGACTGTATAGTATGTTGCATTCCATACGACGGGATGGTAGTGTGGGGCGACAAAAGTGAGTGGTAGAATATGGATAGGGCGGTCGGAATCTAATAGCAGGAAATGATCAAAATTTGCTGACTTTGATCAAACGCTTATCGTAGTGCCATTGACGGCACTACGATAAGCAGATGAGAATTTTGATCATTTCTTGCTGTTAGATTACGACCGCTACCCACCAAGATTTATCACCCGATAAAAGATCCTAATTGTTCGATATCACTTGTGGCAAAACATGACCGAGCGCCAGTTATCTGGAACTCTTAACTAATGATATCTCTGTAAAGAAAAAGGTTCATTATAACATCTGATGATGGAGTTATCTTCACAAGAAACACTTGGAGTACCGCCCAAGGGTTTGGTTACCTAAAATTGATTTTTCTTGGGTATTTATTTTCACCCCCCGACGGTCTACCACCTCAACGTGGTGGGAGGGTGGCGTTTAGGCTTGTAGGCGTATCCGATTTTTAAAGTTTTATTTATGTAACAATAATCTTCCTGGTTTTTAGTATTTTATCACAAGCTCCAATGCAAAGCTCTAGTGCTCTTCAGTCATGCGAGGGTT